AAAATGAAATTTCGAGTATGTATTTAGTTAAATGGTACTCGTTATTATGGCTGATATAATGAATCGAACGAAAAAAAGAAAAAAGAAAAAAAAAAAGAAAAAAAAAAGAAAAAAGATAAATGAAAGAAGAGAAAGAAAGAAAGAAAGAGGGAAAAAAAGAAAACAAGACAAATATTTTTGTTCCCTGTTATTACTCATCACACTATCTATACTAACGTACATATACATACATATATACATACATAGATATATATATATATATATATATACAACAAACACACACACACACACCAATGTACGTCATTCTATGTTTTTATCCGAACAAAAACAAAAAAAAAGATCTTTTGAATGATGTGAACAATGATTCGATTCGTGTAAAGAGGAAAATACAAGAGATAAAGATAGAAAGAGAGAAAGAAAGAGAGAGGGTGAGAGAGAGAGAGAGAGAGAGAGAGAACAAGAAGCATAGAGTGGTTTGCTGCGTGTATCGATTGGGGACGCGGTACGCCGACGAGACTAGCCTACATTCAACCCCCTTCCTTTTCACCCCCTTCTCACTCTCTCTCTCTCTCTCTCTCTCTCTTTCTCTCTCTCTCTTCATTCTCTCTCTGTATCTCTCTTTCTCTCATTCTCTATCGGCCGGCACTTGCTTTTCCTCTCTTTCTCTCTCTCTCTCTCTCTCTCTCTCTCTCTCTCTCTCTGGCAGCGTGAGAGAGCTACCACGGTTACCCTCTCTCACTCTACCAAACCTTGAGTCCTCATTCAACGTTTCCTCCTTTCAGCTTTTTCCTCCCACCGAGTCACCCCTTCGGCCCCAACTCTTCGACCACTACGCGCGCAGGGTCGAGCGGAATGGAAAAAGGAAAGAGAGAAGGAGAGAGTGAAAGAGTGAAAAAGAGAGAAAGAAAAAGAGAAAAAGAAAAAAGAGAGAGAGAGAGAGAGAATAAAAAAGGGAATCTCCGACGGTGTAGCAAGAGGGGATGAATTATCGAGCGAAAGGGTGGAGGTTAGTCCTTGCCTTTACGATCGAAACAGGAATCTCTTTTTCGATCTCCCTGGTGGTAGGACTTCCCTCAAGAACTGTTGTTACAAACGTTTTCGTCATCGTCGTCATCATCATCATGGGATTTACCTTTCTCGGTATATAAATAATATGTACACGGAATTAACTTTTTATGTCGTTTAAAATACGATAAATGCATTAAGTTCGTTCGATTAATAGAATTAATATCGTTAAAATTGTTTTTATTCATTTGTTAATTTATTTATTTATTTATCTATTTGTTTTATTATTTTTTCTTTTTGGGTTTTTTTCTCTCTTTTTTTCTTTTTTTTTTTTTTTTTCTTTTTATTTCAAAAACAACAGCTAAAGAGAGAAATTTAGTTTTGTTAGCTCGTAATATGTAATATATTTTATATTAAATATAATTATTTAATATTGTGTGAAACGATAGGATAAAAGGTAGTACCAATGTTCTGGGTAATCTTTCGATTACAATTTCTTTTTTTTCTTTCTATTTAATTTAATTCTCTTTTTTTTTCTTTTTTTTTTTTAATTAAAATAAGAGAAATAAAAGAGAAATTTATTTTCTTCATCAACGAAAGTACCTCAGTTTTAATGCGAATTAAAGGATACTATCACTTTCCTTTGAGAGTCACAATTATTCTTCGCGAACCACGAAATTTCATTCAATGTTTTCTACTTTCTTCTTTCTCGTATTTCTCTCTCTCTCTCTCTCTCTCTCTCTCTCTCTCTCTTTCTCTCTTTTCTCACATGAGCAACCCTGTCGTATTTGGAGAGACAAAAGTGGTGGTGAAGGAGGATTGAAAAGAGGAAGGAGAAGAAGTGGAAAAAGGACGGATTTCTCCCTGAGACGACCTAACATTTTAAAGATAAATGTCATCGGCTTCCTACTTCATAAAATACTTATCTCTATCTATTTCTCTCTCTTTCTCTCTCTCTCTCTCTCTCTCTCTCTCTCTCTTTCTCTAGAATTTTTCTTTCCACGAAGGACTAGAAAAATTCCGAAGAGCATCGAGTTCAATTATATTCATGTTTAATTTTGATCATTATACACTTTCAATTATCCATTCTAATCGATACGCAAATCCATTATTCTTTTATTAGTATTTTTTTTTGTCCATCTTCGATAGCTTCTACGATCTCAATAGATCATCAGAAAATTCTTATATACCTACATATGTACGTATATATATAAAATCATATATAGAAAATATGATATTATATTTTTCATGATATTTACTAAATCTATTTATCTCATATTTATGATATGTCTACAGTATTTTCTATATAAAAAATTTGCACGCAAGGGTACAAATATTTCTTTTATAACACTCAAATAATCATTTGAAATATCATTTGATCGTTGTGTAAACTAAAAAAAGAGAGAAGATAAAAAAAAGGAGTGTAAAAAAGAAATTAAAAAAAAAAAGAGAGAACAGAAGACACGACGTAAAAACAAATCGTCGATTTTATTTTTTTTCAAAGGCATATAACATTCCCTTGCAAATTCATAGCTATAAGAAACAACAATAATAACAACAACAACAACGACTGTTTCATTGTTGCATGAATTAAAAAAAAAAAATGAAGAAGAAAGGAAAAAGGGGTAAGTCCATAGAAAAAAAAAGAAAAAAATAAAAGACAAAATAAAAAATTCTGTATGTAAACCATAAGAGGGTAGGATATTTAAACGAAGCTACGGCACACACGAAGAGTCCTCGTCGTTAGGTGGTAGCACACAGCGTACCTACTCGAAGGGGTGGCAAAAGCGAGGCCACGACACTGTATCGAAGGGGGGTTGCCTCGTATCCGTGTCACGAATGCGCGCGTCTGCACTCCACCTCGCGCCACCCTCCATGGCCACCACCGAAAGAGGTGAATGCAGTTGGCCGTCATTTTGCAATCCGTTCAGACGCCATTCAGAAGCGTCCTATGCAACTGGCAGGTTGCAACGCGCGAGTCACCATCTTCTCTACATGGTTATCTTCATCATCATTGCCATCGCTATTGTCATCGCCATCGTCATCGCCATCGACATCAACTTTGAAATATCGTCGATGATAATGTCAACTCCATTTATTCAATTTTTGATGTTCATCTTTCTCATGATCTACGTCGTAATAATCTCTCTACTCGTCCTTATTGCCATGGACAGGATTGGTTTAACCAAGTGATGATCGAAAAATTGAACACGTGGAGATAGAAAGGGAGAGAGAGAGAAAAAGAGAGAGAGAGAGAGAGAGAGAGAGAGATAAAGAAAGAAAGAGAGAGGAAAAAAGGTGTAAGGTACGAGATAAGGAATGAGTCATTCTTTTTTTATCTTTATATAAATGAGATCTATGTTTACTTTTTTTTTTCTTTTTAATATTTTAATCCTATAATATAATATCATATAATTTTGAAGTAACATACTCATATACCTGTAATTGTTTTTTTTCCTTTTTTTTCCTTTTCCTTTTTTTTCTTTTTCCTTTATTTTTAATCTTATTCGATCCTTTCGTTAGAAAATTATCATAGATTACATATATCCCAAAAATGAATCATTGTTGTAAGTATAAGTTATATTTACTAACATTTTAATCCTATATGTAATTATGAAGTAGCATACTCGTAGATCTGTGATTTTTTTTCTTTCTTTTTTTTTTTTTTTATACATGTATATATATCTTATTTTATTCTCTCGTTAATTAGAATTATCTCGTTAATAAGAATTATCATAGTTTATGTTTATATTCGAAAAGTTAATGTTTACTTAATTATAGTGACGTCAGTGCAAGATTACGAGACAAGGAATGAGTCATCCTTTTTTTATTTTTATAAAAAAAAAAATCTATTATATATTGATTTTCTTATATTTTAAGCCTCTCTCTCTATATATATATATCTTATTTTACTTTCTTCGCTATAAAATTATTATATTTCTTGCCGTATTAATTTTCTAATTCATATCTCAAAATTAATATTTGCCAAGTTTTAAAATTTCACGTTATATTCATGTTTTTATTTCAGTGATAAAAAAAAATTGGATTTTAGAGGATTAACCTTTAACGAACGATAATGTTTTTTTTTGTTTTTATAATAATCACATAAAAAATTATAGAATGTTGGCTAAATTTAAAGAAGAATATATTCATATCAATGAAATTTCGTTTTCTATAGTATAAAATGTGTTATCCCTTTTTTTTTATATTTTTTAATATACTTTTTATGTTTTTTAATATACTTTTTTATGTTTTTTAATATACTTTTTTTATTCATAAGTATAATTTTAATAATTGGATAATGAATTTTAGGTAAAATTAATCAAACATTTACATTCTCTCGAATGCCTTTTATTTGTTCAAAAAATTATTATTTCTTTTCTTTAATCTATTTCGTCTGTGTCTATTCGTTATAGTCGGACAAAAGGAAAAAGATAAAAAAAAAAAAAGGAATAAAAATAAAAAGAGACCATTGACTGATGCCGATCTTCCAAACGGAAGTTAAAGATAACGCGGATAAGTTAAAAAAATGCGGATATGAAAAAATATCGTTGATAAGGAAATCAGTTTGATAAAAGTATTCGATCGGAACGTAGTCATCTTTTTATTATCTTTTTTATTAGATTTTTTTCTCTTTGTTTCTTTTCCTTTTATTTTTATCGATATTTAGATAAAACTTTAGACGTCAAGGTCATAGCTCGTTCATAATTTCTTCCGATATTCATGAATGGTTCCGGTGATTAGAGAAATACTTCGTTCGTATAATATTATCTTGATTAAATAATTCAATTTCCATCGATCTGATGTCTCAATTTTGTATTTTCAATTTAAAAAACATTTCGAAGATATTATTTTTTCAAAAGATCAAAAAAACGATTAAAATAAAAACAAAAATTGTTTGTTCGTAATATATATATAATGATTATCATGTAAATGATGAATGATTTTAAATAAAAATTGTTCGTTCTTTTTTTTTATTGTCTTTTCTTTCACAGAGATATCAAAGAACGATTGAGGTTTGATTGCACGAAAAAAATTCTAAGGAGAAGAGATCAAGAGAAAGGAGGAGAAAACGAATGCTTTGGAAAAATAAATTCATCGTCCTTTTGGTGGGCCCTTTTGGAACAACGGAACAATCGTTTTTTTAATAGAAAGAATCACACTCCGACCGTCTCCAAGGACGTTTCCGAAGAGAATGTCAAGGTACCGCTTTGTAGTCGTTATGTTCATTACCCTGAGAGGGACACGCCTACGCCTAGATACCTGAATACCGATTTTCCCATTAGTCCGCGCATATGAAAACAAGCTCTTAAGAAATAGATACATATTTATTTCCTTTTTTGTATTTCCGATTTTTTTACCTTCTCAAATCTTTCGCATATTTTTCTTCATACTTCAAAGAACTGCTTATTATTTCTATATTTCATTATCTTTTAATTTATATATATATATATATATATATTTTTTTAAATTTTTATTGTATTTCAAAATTCGTCCATTTTTATTCGTAAAAATTTTTTTCAACTGATTTTAATGAAATGAAAAAACAAAGAAAGGAAAAAAAAGACAATGAAAATTTGTCAACCACTTCTTCTTTTTTATCTCGATATCGTAAACCTTTGAAATTACGTTAATAATAATTTTATAATCGACAATGAATTATACTATATTATAATTATAATATATATAGTATAGTAATTATAATTATAATATATATATAGTAATAGTAGTAGCGACGAATCGACTATGTATGTATACTATTATTACTACTACTACTACTAGTACTATTACTACTACTATTACTACTACTACTACTACTAGTACTACTACTACTACTATTACTACTACTACTACTACTACTACTACTACATATATATATAACGTTTATTGAAAATTTCATTTCTTTACATTGAAAAAAAGCTTCGAAATTTTTTTAATAAAAATTCAACGACAAATAATACCAGTATCAACAACGAAGTGCAGCATTTTTTCTATCTCTTCGTTCTATATGTAAAATTCATACAATCGAAATTGATAGGAAAAAAAAGAAAAAGAGAGAGAGAGAGAGAGAGAGAAAAAGAAAGAGAAGAAAAAAGAAAATCTCGATTGAAATGGTCGAATGAAAAGGGACACGGGAAAGGAGCGGGCAGGAGGTAGATTTCGGGGGGAGGGGAGAGAGGGAGTAGGCGCGTGCGGGAAAAAAATATTTTCAAATAAATGAAGCATTACTGCGTGTCAGACACGGTGTGCATAGAAAGGACAATGGAAGGTCTCAGAGGGCCGGGCATGCGATTCTCAAAAGCACTTTTTGCAGTAGTGAGCAAGAAGGATCGTTCGCGGCCAATGACTCGCGACAAACAGTAGAAGCTTTATAGCGTCGAACACGTCACTTAAACGAGATCTCATTGAGCGCTCAGTGAACTTTATAGGTATGTGATCAGCGATCCATATAAATGGAGAAAACCCTTTGGACCTTGGTGGGTCCATTTCTGCATGTGTACGTGTATGTAGGTATAATCCACGATATCGATAACGCTCGAACGCTTACTTTTCGGTTCACCTCGATTCATTATATCAATGTAAAATATATGAAAATAAAGTAGAAAAAAAAAAGAGAAGAAAAGATGAATATATATATATATATATATATATATATATATATCTAAATGAATAAATATATATCTAAATTAATAAGAGAGGATAGGGTATATATCTATGCTAATACGTAAGACTCGGTTTAACGTGGGCATTCTAATACTACGATCGTTATATTTGTTCTGACATATATAGATGCATATATATATATATATATATATATATATATGTAGATATATCTATACGTACATACATACATAAAACATAAATGTTATTCTTTTAACTGCTCGATAACGAAAATGACATATCTAAGGATTTTCCATCGGATAGAAAAGAAACGCATAGAGAAACGTTGAAAAAAATTCCTTTCCTTTTTTCTTTCTTTTTGGGGTTCTTTTTTTTTTTTTTTTTTTTTTTTATTATTAGTGGATAACTATATCGACTCCAAGGACAATCACGAAACGTCCGTCGATCTTATGGTGATAATTTTTTCGGATAAATAATCTATTCCCACGCGCGAAATACGAAAGTCGTAAATAATAACACGAATCATAGGAGACAGAACGAAATTGTATCGAATATCAAGTAACATGTGGGTGGTGTTGATACACCTACTTATATTTCCCTACCAGTATTTTTAGTCCCAACAGACAAGAACAAGTATCATCCTTCGAAACTATTCTACAAAATACTGAATTAAATGAAGAGAAAGAAGGGTAATTTTGCAATATAACCGACGAGAAACGATCGAGCTAATTCGTCGAATTGTCTCGACAAATTATTACATACCATTATCGTAGCTATCGTCTCTAACGAGTGCTTTCAAATATGGATAATAAATCTGATCCTTTCCCCCACTCTCTCCGCCCTTTGAAAAGAAGAAATAAAAGAAATAAAAAATAAAAAAGAGAGAGAGAGAGAGAGAAAGAAAAAGAAAACACAATTCTTGAATTAACGAATGAAGAAAATATTTTTACGACAAAATTGAATAAAGATTAAAAGGAAGAGAGAGAGAGAGAGAGAGAAAGAGAGAAAGAGAGAGAAGGAAAAAATAAGAAAAAAGAGAGATCATTCACGTCTCTCTCTTTTTTTTTTGGTTTCGCTTTCTTTTTCATTAATTTAAATAACAATTACAATTCCTTTGTAAAAAGTTCGAAACAATTGTTTGTTACATTTTTGTCTTTAAAATTAATCTCATCGCGAATTTTATCTATTATTTGTCTATGATAAAAATTCTACAAAATTACGTCAACCCACGCACTCCAACGGGAAAGGATTTTTCGTCGAGCGCCCACGTAAACGAATGAATCTTCGAAAGCCAATCGGCGTCGAGCAATTTCACGCAAGTACGTGACACGATAGGAGCGTGCGTGCGCCCTACGAAAGCTCGCAAGCACCCCATAGAAGGATGAATGGAGCCTCGAAATCAGTCAGTTCTACGCTCGTCCTACGAGTCGTGCGGACGCGTTAGGCTTCGAAGCCTTTCTATCGTGACACCAAAAAGTGTATATATATATATATATACGTATATATATTTATATATATATATATATATATACATACATACATGAATATATGTATATATATGTGTATATTTTATATATACATATTCACTTATACTTTTACACAACGAAAATTCATTGTCGCTTTTTCCATCATCATCCCTTCATATTTAACGAGCTTCCATTTACAACGAAAACATGTTTGGTGGCTCAATGTCTCGCTCACGGTCGACGGTACGCCGAAAGCAGTTAACAGTCGCATTTCGGTATCGATCGAATGGAAATCAAACATAGGATGACAACCACTGTTAGCGGCTCCTATCTACCAATATATCTACGTGAGAATATCATTCGGAATTTAATCTTCTCAAGAAGAGGAAAAATCCACGAATATTGAGAGTTACTATTTTTCGAAGACGATCCATTCGTTGTTTTTCATTATGATTACTAATTAAATGAAAAGATTGATTAAATATAAAAATGCATCAAAGAACAAAAAAAAGATAATAATAATAATAATAATAATAATAATAATAATAATAATAATAGTAATAATAATAATAATAATAGAAAGAAATAAAAAAAAAGAAAAGAAAAAAACCAAAGGACGAATGAGAGAGGAGGAAGAAAAAGGAAACAAACAAAGGATTAACGATAAAACGAAAGAAGAAGAATGTTAGATGGACGAGATTCGTAGGAGGCTCGATTAAGAGGGAAAATTATTTTTTGAGAAATTTTTTAGGACGCTATTAATTATCCTCTCAAACTCTCCCTCGCATGCGCATGATCACATTTGATAATATTTATAATAATAATAATAGTAATAATAATATTAATAATAAAAATAAAAAAAAATAATAATAATAATAATAAAACTATCGTATACGAAGGAACAGGCAATAGCACTTCGTTACTACTCATGGAGAATATATGGAGTACACATACATATACATATATATGATGTACATATAAGTACGTACTACTTATGTATGTACGATACAATACGAACAGAGATATCGCAAGAGTCAGATTCAGTTCCGTCGGGTAGTTTATTGATTTTTTTTACCTACTCCAACAATGATAGTCGGTTAGCATTGTTACGTTGTGGATAACCAAAGGCAATCCTGGTACATGAGTAATCGAATGTGCAACAACATTGCTCTCTTTTTTTATACTGTATTATATAAACACTGAATAATAATAATAATAATAATAATAATAATAATAATAATAATAATAATTAATAATTAATAATTAATAATAATAATAATAATAATAATAATAATAATAATAATAACAATAATAATAATTTGGTACGCGAGGAACGAGTGGAAATAACATTAACAGTGTTAATGACTTTTCATATGTACATTAAATATTATGAATATTTTAAAATAGAGAAAATTTCGCTTTTGCGATATTCGAGATAATATAATATTAATCAATGATGATATGATTACGGTGAAATAACAATTTCAAGAATCGTTTGGTACCAGCGTAAAATTCGAATTCGATTCGTACAATTTATCGTAACGCAGGAAAACGAGAGAGAGAGAGAGAGAGAGAGAGAGAGAGAGAGAAAGAGAGAGAGAGAAGAAGCTTGGAAACACAAGGGCAAACGCAAATTATAAATATAGCGTTGAGAACGGCTCGCACAGGAAACACGGAGATAAATGAGCATAGACTGGAAAAAGAGCGGATTCGACAGAGCGAATATATTGGATACCGGGGCACATGGGGCAGAGGGACGAATGAACAGCATCCGGTTTTCTGAATCACCGAGATATTCTTGAGGAATACGTAAGGGACGAGTTTAAATCTTCTTCGTTTAGATCGTGAAAATTCTGTTGTCTCTGTATCTATATCGAACTATGTATATAGGTACGTCGACCTTTTCTATGATATTAAACGTACGAGTTTAATTTTCAACTATTTTCAAGTGCAAAGGGAGAGTAAGGGAAAAGAAAGATAAAAAAGGATAACGAAAAGGGAAATAGGAGGAGAAGAGAAAAGAAAAGAAAAGAAAAGAAAAAAGAGAAGAAAGGGAAGAGAAGACAGGAGAAAAAGGAAGCTGGAGAACTGTAAACTTTCGAATCTAGGATTTTTCGGGAATTTTTTTTTAAGGATATACATTTAAAAAGTTTTCAAAAATTGTTATCACTATGAGGCAATGCGTGGACGCTATATTGTTGCACGGTAACCAAAATTTTATGTTTATTAAAATCGTTTAATATAATCATGTAAGATTCATACATACGTACATATGACATTCGATTTATATGAGAAAGGTGTCTTTGTATAATTTTATTTCATTCTTTTTTTTTCTTCGGCTTAATCATCTTCATTATTATATCGTGATGAATTGTTCTTCATTTTATGAGACATCATAGAAAAATTCGATAGAAAGACGTCATATAAGGTTCTACATAGAAATACGATTACTCATTATTTTCTCATTTCTTGATCTCTTATACATATATATATATATATAAATATATATATATATATATGTATGTATGTATGTATGTATGCATGTATGTATGTATTTATGTATGTATGTCGAGATACGTCATAAGAGAGAGAAAAGAAAAAAAAAGAAAAAAGAAAAAAAAAAGAAGCAAGAGTAACGGCAAAAAGATCGACCTTGAAAGTCCACCACCTTCTTCGGTGGACGATCGCGTTCCGGAAAAGTGCATTACTATCGTTTATTCGCACGTGCTTGACGTTCATTCACATCGTCTCCCTCCCGCCAAATTCTCAATACTTGTAGTAAACTCGTGTCACGATTGGTCGGCATTCACGCCACGCGTTAATTGTGATTGGTCGAGGCACGTTACCTCGCTCTTAAGTGAGCCGATACGTACGAACACGGCCGAACAAGGCCGAGAGAAACCGAAGCACAAGTCAGAACTCGTTGCTCGTATACTCGCGACAGTTCGAACACGGAGCTTGCGCAGGAAGGTCTATTCGACTGTTTTTTACATGAACATGGCGGTTTTGACGTATTCTCAACCGCTAGTTTTAAATCACAAAGTGCACTTTACCGTTAACCAGACGTTCCTCATTGTCCTAACATACGTATTTCTCATACAAGGTATTTACAATGTTTCAATTGATTTATTTTTTTCATAGTTTTATCGTGTACTTCCTTCGTACACAAAACAGCATTATGTATCAGCGGCAAACAGGATGTACTTTGTTTGTAGAAGAGAGTTTCGTTCGTACCTGTATATATGTGTATATGTGGTGTGTGTGTGTGTGTGTGTACATGCGTATGTATTTTCTCTCGTGAAAGGCGCCCATGTATCAACGCAAACAAGGATGCGCGTGTGTTATACGCCTCTCTTTCTATCTCTCTGACCGAGTTTGTATTTGTGACTGGAATGATGTTATTCATCTACTTGTCACATGCAGTGCTTTCATTGGCGTAGACTGCATCTGTCACATTACTGTGCTACACATAAATCCCTCTCTTCCCCCATTCTCTTTAAAATCTTCTTTAATAATTCGTTCGTAAACGTTAAACGCGTGATATTTACATCCCCATTAAGAATTAAATAATTTTATGTTAGTCGTTATTTCTTATTTAAATTCTTTTTTTTTTCTTCCCATTTTAATATTATCAATTGACCTCTCGTTATATCGACGCATTTTTTAAAGATACGATACGAGGTCAATATTTATTTATGTTATTTGTCTAAGAAGATAGGTCAAAAATGTATATGTTTAAGCTCAAGGACAATTGTTAGAATATATTTAGTTCTTTACTATATTGTAATATATTCAATATTATTGTCTTTCTTATGTTTCTTCATTAATTATGAATAGAAAGTCTAATGAAAAATATACAAATTTCATTAATTAATTATCATTGTTATAGGAGGTACAGGGATACCATTGAGTCATCATTATGTGAATGATGCAGAACAATATGACTCTTCGATCAATGATGATAATACAAAACCTTTGGAAAAATTCTACTTAATCACAGAACAAAGGTGGCACAAAGATACTGTGCTACCAATTTCTTTATTGACGTCTACCGAGGGAATGTCTGCTCGATCTCATCACAGGTATAGGATGTTAAAGGTTTTTTCTTGATTTTATTAAAATTGTATAGATTTGAAAGATACATAGATTTTGTTTGATGTAATATAGGATCCGGCAGTCCACGACGGGACTGGATGATGCTGGTATGGATTTACAAGCAGCTCAACTCAGTACCCGTACAGGTCAGGAGGTTCGCTCTACTGCTACTCTATCATGGCTAGATTGGCAGTTGCCTCTTTTTGTAGCACTTTGCGCCATTGCTGGTGCTATTTTATTTACATTTCTGGTAAGAAATCATAATATAAAAAATGACATATAACTCTTTTAATTCTTTCATGAATAACAGAAACTTTATCATGTTGGAACAAAATATAAATAGAAAACTTTTATTTAATAGATCTTGTTATGGCTACGGAAACAAATGTCGCGTGAAAAAGATACAGAAGATGGTGACAGGAGAGGTCTAGTAGAAGAAGGGGTGGTGAGCCGTACAGATAAAACTGGTAAGAGTACTCAGAGTTCTGTTGAAGCGCAATGGGTTCCTCAATCAGTAACAAAACCATCAGTATCTACGCAGAAAGCAAAAGCTTCTATGGTCACTTCTGGTTTACCAGAAATAATGGCTGTGGCTACACCAGAACGAAAAATAGAGCCAATTCGCATAAAAACAAAAGGATTATTAGAACGGCGTGGCTCGAGTGCAAGTTTAACAATAGAACTAGCAGCAGCGCCTGAAAGTCCACCCCATATGGTCACACCAACTCGCGAATGTACAGCGGAAGAATTTTTACTGAGTGCTGGAAATGTCTTATCTAGAACTCAATTGAAAAAAGCAATAAGTGATCCCGCATCTCTACATAAAGAATTTTGGGAAGTGCCATTGAATCTTCCTGAAAAAGTTGATATATGCGGAGCTGGAATAAAAAATAGATATTGTACTGTATTACCCAATCCACAATCTAGAGTGGTATTACCAGTTTTACCTGGTTCTTCTGATGATCCGCTTTCTAGTTATATAAATGCCAATTATATCAGGGTAAGAAGAAAATAAAATATACTAGACTCATACTGAAGTGTCATTTTATAAACTGAATTATGATGTAATATTGGATAATATTTTTAATTAATAGGGATATGATGGAGAAGATGCATGCTATATTGCAACACAAGGACCATTAGCTAATACAGTAGGAGATTTCTGGAAAATGGTTTGGGCAGAAAAAGTTCCTGTGATTGTCATGATGACAAGATTACACGAAGCTGCTAAAACAAAATGTGACATCTATTTTCCTTTAGATAAAAATAATCGTTTACAAGCTGGTCCTTTCACGATTATAGTTAACTCTATTAATAATAAAGATGGTTATACTGTCAGAGATTTGGAAATTAGATATGAAAAAGAAAGACGCCACGTACAGCATTACTGGTACCTAAAATAAAAATAAATCTTAATATGTTATTAAGAGTAAAAATCTTATAGAAAATGATTTTGATAGGTATGATTCATGGCCAGATCATGCTGTACCTCAAGCAGCAGATGCTCTTGTTAATCTAGCTGCAGAAGTAAATGCTTTATCTGGGCCTGTAGTGGTACACTGTAGTGCAGGTATTGGACGCACTGGATGTTTTATAGCATTAGCAATAGGAATGACTCAACTCTTAAAAGATGGTAATGTTGATGTACTAGGTATTCTATGTCAAATGAGGTGAGAATTTCATAGATTTCTTAATTCGTTTAACATAATATATGCGATTTTTATAAAATCTTTGATACTTATAAAATCATTATTTTACTTAAGGTATGACAGAGGAGGTATGATTCAAACTGCAGAACAGTATGAATTTGTTCATCGAGCACTTTGTTTATTTGAACAAACACTCGATGGCAAAGTATCTGTATCAAGGGAATAAAATTGCTTTGATTGATTATTAAAGAAGCAAGTACCGTAGCCTACAACAATCCTATTTCGTCCAGATATGCTCTTCTGCCACAAAACAACAACAACAAAAAATACTTTCAAATGAATCTCAATGTCAGTCTTGAGGTAAGGAAGGAGGTCTGAACTATTTCAACACTTGGATGAATTTTGCCTCATCTAATATGCTGCCATTCTATACTGCCATGACAAATCGTTAACAATTAATATGAGTCACGTAAAAATTTCTCAAATATTTATCACTTGATCATCTATCTTACTAAAAGAAAAAAGCATTTTTTATGCCAAATTAAAAATCAAAGTAAAAGTTATCTTGATGAACAAGTACTGATTATGTGGAACATATTTGTACAAAAAAAATGCGGTTGAATAACTTAACATCATGACCTTTTACTGTAACAATTTAAATATTACAATCTCATAGAAATGCCCATTATTTGCCAGAGATAACATATTTATTTTCTTTTTGATTTTTATGGGGTTGTTGCATTTTTTAATTCACACATTAATTATATACATTCCGTATGTGGCACAAAATATATAAGTTTTTGTAGGTTTGACGAAAAAAGAAAAAAAGAAAAACCAACAAAAAAAGAAAACAAGTGTGAAGTGAAAATTATCACTACTTCACCTTATACTCTCAAATATGAAGTAGTCCTTCTTTAGCTCTTCAATGCTGTAAAACATAAAATAACTGAACTGCCCTGACATGCAGATTTCAGGGATTAATTATAACTGTTTTATTGGACTATGAATGATTGAAATTTGAATGATAGAAAATGAATGACGAAGAATTTGGGACCCATGTCATATAAACGCTCTTATCCTATTTGTAGTTCCTAGTTGATTTTGAAGTTTGATGTTTAACATGGACTATGATTTTCATGATCTTTATTTAACTTACAAGCAAAGACTGAATGTAAAGAGTACAATATGACTATTAGTTCAATATGTAGTAAAAATTTTGAAAACTTCACAAATCAAATTTTAAACTAATACAGTTCAGTAGTTTAAAATAATATTATTTAAATATTCTAGATTATGAACAGTACTTTTTATTTCGATAATATTTAAAATCTCTTCATTACAAAGAAAAAAAAGAAAAAAGAAAAGAAAAAGCAAAATAAAACTCTTACTATTATATCTACCAATGTATATATAGATTTAGTTATTTATTCCGTTTGTTGCTTCACATGCCAATCAATATTTAATAATAATAATAATAATAATAATAATAATAATAATGGGTGAATGTGTGTAACTTTATATAGCAATTAATGTGAAAATATCGGACATATGAATGTCTTTGTGTACAATTAACTCTTGTTTGTAACAAGGATTAATATTTAGCTGACAATAAATGTGATTTACGTTACCCCATTTTTTGGTGGCACGAATTGCAATAAACGGTTTATGGTAAAATATTTAAATTTAATTTCAAAAGATCTTAAAAGTGTGTACATTATTTTGCATTGTCGGTAAATTATACACAATATATATACATACACGCATAAAATATATCGTAAAATCAATTTGTATATATATATATATATATATATATATATATATATATGTATGTATGTATATATATATATTTATATTTAAAACATACAAATATTGATTGCATTAATTTTTAAATGATATAAAACATATTCTTTTGTATGTATATTATTTCTAAAATGATATGTACAGATTATCTCCTCAGTAAATTATTGAATTCCTGCTATATATTTCTATATTATATTTATTTTTATTGAAAATTCTGAATAATATTTACCTAATCGTTACATATTACAATTCCAGCGTTTTATGCGTCTAGTAATATATTTAATTAAAATATTTGTCAAATACATATAAAATTTTTTAATTTGCAGTTATTCTATAGAGGAAAAATTGTCCCTTTTTTTTTATATAATAATCAAAATCTTCCCATTTACCTCATCAGCGTGTTAACAGTATTTGCTTTAATTTATGCTATTCTTCCAGATTATTCATAATTATTATTATTCCTCGAAATTTATAATTCTAGAATAAAAGTTTGAATGTACGAAGAGAAAGAGATTGTGATATATACATATATATATGTATATTGTACATACATTGTACAGAGAGCAAAAAATATATTTAAGAGAGTATTTGTTTAAGCAAAACGAGAGTATATAAATTATTTATGTCTGTGCAAAGTCGCATATGACTAACTAATTGTATCAAGAATATAACAATAATTATAATTTAGCAGCCCCTTGGTGTTCAATTGTACTTATGTGACGTAATAAATGTTTATAGTATCCATGGATATATATATATGTAAAATATTAATCATTATACCTATTTTATCTGTATTTATTTTAAATTAGTCCGAGATAAAGAACTTTGAAGATTATCTTTTTGTCAGTACTCATTTGAAAATTAGTTTATTTCTATAATTTAACAAGTAAACAATGTAAATATAATAATTAATCGCATATTTAAATATTATTTTATAATAACAAATATTTGTTTAAATATTAATGATTATATTTTATTAGTTAATATATTATTAATTGAAGTAAAGTTAAATTACGCTTTATTTCGCGGGTAAATTAACAGCTAATCAAATTTCAGCCGCCATGATAACTTTATCAATGGCGCGTTAATTAAAATTGTAATTTTCAAATTTTTTCTATATCCTACTTTTTTGACAATTATAAGATAAAAAAAAAATAGTAATATCATTTTCTAAATATTTCATTATAACATTTAAATAACCTCGTTGCATTTTTGTTTATACTTATTTGACTAGATAGCGCTTGTATCACTTATTGTTCTTTAACGTGGAAACAAAATTATTTTATTTAAAAGACAATCTATAGTTTAAATATGAAAACTTATAAACGAACAGAAAATCAAAGAGATAAATCCTAATCTTTGGTCTTTCGTTATAATTGTATTTTATTATATCATATGGACATTGAACGACAAAGACTGTTGTTTATTAAGATATAGAAATAAACAATATTGTTTATATCTTTTAAAAATAATCAATGTCAATGAGTGACAAATATCTTTGCTATAAATTAAAATGTTTTATTTTTAAATATTATTCTGTGTATATATAAATATATATGTATGTATAGATATATATACATATATATATATATATATATATATATATATGTTGTACGTATGTTTGTATACGTATACGCATATATAGAATTGTATCGTGAAAACATAAAAATAAATTGAAGGATTATTATTATCATTATAATTATTACGTAACATTACAATATCTCATAGTCGTGTCATATTGCGTAAAATATAATTATTATTGTGATTACGATTTAATAAAATGATAATGATGTAGGATAAAAGAAAAAAAAAAAACAAACAAAAATTGAAAAAAAAAAGAAAGAAAAGAAAAATAATTATGATTATCAACGCAATAGGATATATAATCAATGATATTATAAAGAAACATACACAAGTACCTTTAGATCACGGGATAACTCGTGACTGAGCGAATGTTCGGATTAGAAGAAGGATTTAACACATGTGTCGTTTAATATAATGACATAATAAAGATAAATCGTATAAATGTTTACATTTGTGAGAATATTTTTATGATACATCAATGAAAGCTAACGAAGGAATTTATAAAAGTTAACCACGAATTTTTATTTGAGAAATGCTATCATTTCTAATGAATCCGTCAATCTTGAAAGATAGAATTTTTAAATTCGTGTCATTGTTACAAACTCGTATCATTTGACGAGAAAAATTTTTTTATAAATAAAACGTCTACAGTGATTTTTATTCATCTTGTAATAATAAAAAAAATTTAGTTTCTTTAAATAACTGAAATAATATGGAGAAACAGGATGACGTATTGTTGCAATTGCGAGTTGAAAGACCCCTTTATGAACAAGAAACATTAAACTTGGATTATTGTTATGAACGACCCAGAACATCTCGTAAGTTTATATTAAAAATTTTATACATAATATAAATATAAAATATAATAATCTTAGTTAACTAATATGTTTTTAATTAGCTTTTGATGCCAATAATATAATTCAATTTTTAATAGCTTTATAATTTGCAGTGACTCAGTATATAAAAGAATTTGTGAAATGTAAAAATTGGAAATCATGCATTAGTTCATCGATACCAGCTGTGACATGGCTTAAACGATATAGATGGAAAGACGATTTGGTTTATGATATGATTTCTGGTTTAACCGTAGCTATCATGCATATTCCACAAGGAATGGCCTATGCACTTTTAGGAAATTTACCACCTGTAGTTGGAATATACATGGCATTCTTTCCAGTTTTAGTATATTTTTTTTTTGGCACATCGAAGCATGTATCGATGGGTAAATATCAAGAATACTTAACAAACTATACATAATTGTTGTATGCTACAAAAAAAATTTGTAATGTTTAAGTAATCATGAAATCATTTTATATATGTCTATAGGAACATTTGCTGTTGTTTGTCTTATGACTGGTAAAGCTGTGACATCGTACTCAGTACCATTAAATGATCATCAAAATGTTACAACATTTACACAAATGGACAAAGAATATAATTCATATACATCAATTCAAGTAGCAACAGCAGTTACATTATCAGTTGGTATATTCCAAGTAAGTTTTCCAAATTCTATCCTTTTATATAATTTTGTTCTTGTAATATATAATAAAGAAATAAATTCAATAAAAACATTTTTCTAGATCATAATGTATATATTTCGATTAGGAGTTATAAGCACATTACTTAGTGAAACATTAGTCAATAGCTTTACTACAGGTGCTGCGATCCATGTTCTGCTATCACAGATCAAAGATCTATTAGGTTTAAAACTGCCAAAACAGAAAGGTTACTTTAAACTTATTCAAGTATGTATAATTAATTTTGAAATATTTTAACTAATATAAGAAAATATATAATATATAATGTGATATAATTTTTATATTCTCAGACTGTTATAAGTATAGCCAAAGAAATATCAAATATAAATGTTGCGTCTGCAATTGTATCAACAATAGCAATTATTATTATGGTCTTTAATAATGAATTTATAAAAGTAAGTTTTTCGTGTTATCTATTTGTAAATATTTTACATCAAAGTAAACACACATTACATATGTATATATATATATATACATATGTTTTTATGTTAGCCATGGGCTGGAAAAAAATGTGGTGTTCCTATACCCATAGAACTTATTGCTGTTGTTAGCGGTACCTTGGTGTCTAAATATGGCAATTTAACCGAAGTATACAACATTCAAAATGTGGGACACATTCCTACAGGGTACGTATATCTTTTCTAATTGTATAGAATTAAGTTTTACAATGATTAAATTGTATTCAGTTTTAAGGTGCCTTAAATCAGATTACCAACAGCAGAATTACCAACGTTAGAATTATTGCCTTTAGTTGCAGTAGATAGTATTGCAATAACTATGGTTTCTTATACAATCACCATGTCAATGGCTTTAATATTTGCTCAAAAACTTAATTATGAAGTAGACTCGAATCAAGAACTATTCGCTATGGTAAAAATGTTATCTATTAATAACTTCTTATCTTTTGTTTGTATTACAAAGTTAGTATAATATATATATATATATATATATATTTTTTTTTTTTAATTGTAGGGAGTCAGCAATATAGTTGGATCTTTTTTTTCATGTATGCCATTTTCTGCATCTTTAAGCAGATCTCTAATCCAACAAACAGTAGGTGGTCGTTCTCAGATCGCTAGTATTGTATCGTGTTCCATACTATTGATCATTCTTTTATGGATAGGTCCTTTCTTTGAACCACTTCCAAGATGTATTTTAGCTTCAATTATAGTAGTAAGTAAAATATATAATTAATGAAATAATTTAAATATAAAAATTAATATATTTATTTACTCATTATTATTTTTAGGTAGCATTAAAAGGAATGTTACAACAAGCCACACAATTAATTAAGTTTTGGAAATTAAGTAAATCCGATGCTATAATATGGATTGTAACATTCTTGATTGTAATACTAGTTAGTATCGATATAGGACTATTAGCAGGATTGATAGTTTCACTTGCAAGTGTATTATTGCAAAGTATTAGACCATATACATGTTTATTAGGTCACATACCAAATTCAGATTTATATTTAGATCTTAATAGATACAAAGCGGTAAGATTTAAAAATTTTTTAATTTTTTCATATAAAGTTAATATTATTGATAAATATTTTCATATAAAGTTATATTATAAATTTTATTCATTACGTTCACAGGCAAAGGAAATAGAAGGAATCAAAATTTTTCATTACTCTGGAAGTTTAAATTTCGCGAATAGAGCTCATTTCAAATCTGAAGTCTATAAATTGATTGGTATTAATCCACAAAAAGTTATTAGACAAAGATTAAAGCTTAAACAAAAAAATATTCATTTAGATGAACAGGATTTTGAACATAAGGATGGTTTACGTTGTATTATTATGAATATGAGTGCAGTTAGTTACATAGATCCGGCAGGTGTTAATGTAATACATGCAGTAGCTTCAGAATTTAGTGAAATTCAAATACATTTTTATTTAGCCAGTTGTACGAGTCCAATATTTGAGATGATAAAAAAATGTGAAATGTATACATATAAAGAACTCTCATTTAAAATTTTTGCAACTATAGAAGATGCTGTATCTTATTCTCGATCTGCTCTTTTATCAAGATGACCATATAATACATTGTACTTAAGAATATATCAATATATTATTTTAAAATGAGATATAATTAAAAAATATTATTTTTGCATAATACTTCAATTATTTTGTTGACAATGAGAGGTCAAATCATGTATACTTTGCACATGTTAATAGAGCAAATCAATTCGAATTTCTAATATAAAATATATCCTTGTACTTAGATTTTTTATCATGTGATATAAAAATTACAAATGTACATTATTTACACTTAAAAAGCATTTGACAAATGCTAAGCCTTATGTACATAATATACATGACAGTAATTCAATAAAATTAAAGAAATATATTTTTAGAACTATGTATAAATACTTATGTTTCTACAAATAACTTCAAAATTACCATTATATACAGATATAGAGATGAACTTCAGCTGACAATAGCAATTAGATTTATATAAAAATAAATATATATATAACCAAAAGAATGATGATAAAAAGGGAACGAATATATAAACAATGAAAATCCACTTATCGGAGTAATCATTCTATTTATTTACAATGATCACTCATATATACAATAACAGTACATAGTTACATTGTGTAACATAGCTGTCACAACTCCGTTTCACAAAAGCACTATTTTTTTTTTCCGTCGTGGAATAATATTACAGTTTATTCTCACTTCTAATAGTCTGGCAGTGTTGCCTTCACTGATGAGTTTATTAATTTACTGATGAATAAATACACAAAAAAGGAAATTGTTGGACATTGTTCAACAATGTATTGTATGAAATTAATTGAATTTGCCTATGGTTTATCTTCTAACTGTGATCTTTCAATGATCCAATTAAAAAGTTAACCAAGTATAGTATTTAAGCAATACCATACTTCTTTTTGAGAGACTCTGGCATTTCTGGTGGTGGTGGACGTGGCATACGTAACCAAACTTTTACTGCATCATAAATGAACCACTGTGCCGCTGTAAGAGTACCGATCATAATAATCCTAGGTCCCAGTCCTTTCCACACACCAGCAAAACCAAGTTTTTTCAATACATCACCAGCTGTAGCTCCTTTTTCTTGATTTAGCTTGGAAACAACCTATCAAGAGAAATTGTATAAAAATATTTATAAATATATTTCTTTAATAATTATCATCTTATAATGTTTCTACTCACGGAATCAGCAGGATGAGAAACAATTGCACAAAATACACCAGCAATATAACCCGCAGCAAAAGTAACGACTAACTGTTCACCCTTACTACATTCTAATCTTGGCTTAGGTACCACATACTTGTACAATAATTCAAGGGTACGTTCGAAGCATGAGAATTTCATCATGGTATATGGAATTTGACGCAACCACAAAGGTACCAGACCTTTGTAAAAACCACCAAAACCTTCATCTGCATACATCTTTGGGAATGCCTCTCTTAAGGTATTTGCAAAGCCTGGCATGGTCTGAATTCTGACCTGTATAAAGAACATATTTTAGTATATTTTATTATTAATATACTTTAATATACAAAAAATAAGTAATAATCTATCAAAAAAAAAAAAAAAAGCAGGGAATGGGAATATTAGAAACTTACAAAATATATGACAAGGATACGACGACACAAGGATGAAGTGTAGTACAGACTGAATGAAGGTGTAAAATTGGGTTAATATTTTATTAGGGTGCAAAATTAAATAATCACAGAGATTAAGATTCATATCTGTGTATGTTTGCAGCCAATAAGTCAGGAAGTCCGTAACTCTATTGACCTTCATATAAAATTATCATATATATATATATATGTATATATATATATATGATAATATAAAAAAAAAAAATTACCTTAGCGGCTTCGAGTGGAGCTAAACCAATGTCTGCAAAGAATTCTGCAGATGCCGAAGAAATGAGGTATAAGGTAGTTCTGTATTCATAAGATAACTCTTCGCCAGCAAGAGCGGAATAATAAACTTTAAAGACTTCATAAAGACCAAATTTGAACATTCCTTGAATAGAATAACCAAAAAATGTTGGTGCCCAACCTTTTACCAAACCTCTAGTTCCATCTTCAGCTAAAGTTACCTATTAAAATATAATATTCAAATATATACAATTTTAATATTTATCTTTTCATCTTATTATCCGAGAATGAAATAAACATATATTATTCACATACTCGAAAACCATTGAAAACTGATTTATATTTAGCTGGGTCTACTTGAATACGGCATTTTACTAAATCCAATGGAGTAACCATGGTATGAGTTATTCCACAAGACAAAATTCCTCCAAGTCCGCATAACATGAAATATTTGTTGGAACCAAATTCGCAACTGTCTGCAAAAAATAATTCGAACGTTAAAGATATTCTACGATTGCTTTCCTAGAAGTAACTTTGTTTATGTAATTTTGAATTAAAAAGATAAAAAAAAAAATTAAAAAAAAAATTAAAAAATTAAAAAAAAAAAAAAAAAAAAATCCGCGGACAATCGAATCTCGACGATATCGATCAGCTGGTAAACTCGTGCATTCGGAATTCGAATCTGGCAAAATTTCAAGATCGCCTTGAACGAATCTGCTACCTTGTCCTAATCCGATAATAAACCATTCTAGTACTGGTAAATGTGTTTCATTGGTTACTCGGTCGCGGTCATTATCCAAAGGCAATGTCGATCATTATTTTCGTTTAAATATCATTCGAAGTTCCGAAACCAAGATCGGCACGCGTTCTCGACAAAATGGCCGCTCCTTATGCAACCCATTCTTCCGATACTATGTACGTTATATCTATCTTTCTTTAATACATCCAAATTCGTATAATTTTAACAATTTTACTATTAATATAAAATTATTTTTACAAATGTCATATTATATATACATAAATACATATATATATATATATATATATATATATATATACATATATATCTCTTATTCAATGCGACACCTGCAGTATATGTACGTATATATAAAAATTTCTTCGCTTCTGGCTCTCGTCAAACATTTCAATGCTGCATATAAGTTTTAGTTACATAATTATTTATCTTATAAAACAATCAAGATAAAACTACGAAGACATTATGAAAAAAATGATGATTATACGAAGAACTCCGGTAATAATATTATCGAAAGTATTAAACGGGGCTAAATGGTTATTGAGACTGTCACTGTGACGATACCATAGTAATGATTTCTTTTTAACGTGAATTACATATTATGTAACACCATGTCACATGTGAATGAAGCAACGATCAAAATATCCCTATTAACTAGAAAAGCATGCCTTTTCTATTAACTTGATATAAAAAAATTTTCCTTCATAAATTTCAGTACTCGGACTCATAATCCAATTGTAACCATTTCTGTTATAAATTCTTAAAAAAAAAAAAAAAAAAAAAAGAAAAAAAAATTAAAGAAAAGAAAATGTGAGAAATATATATATACTGACCACCTGCATCCGTAGAGGCAGCTGAGATGTTGCGATTTTTAACGAGCGATTGCATACTCTCATCTTGACCCTGACACCTAACCGTTGTAAAAGGTGTTGAAAATGGTGTTAGCTTGGCTGTTTCCCATAATGACGACCACATCTTCTCTTCCTCGAATTTGACACTTCACCTGAATATAAAACACCAATGCAGTAATAATTCATATATTATTATATTAAAATAAAATTTAATTAAACGAATGACATACAACACACCTCCAAAGGCACAACTCTCGTCTCCGGTTAGTTGAAAGAGAGTGGAAAAGGCAAGGAGCTTTTACTACTGACAGGACCGTGATAAGATCATTGATATAGAAGGTAGACTAAGTGAATTAATGAATTCGAACGAGTAACGACATCTAGAAACTTTGTATAAAAAAATATTCTTCCCATTGATTCGTTTTAATCAGAATTATCAAAGAAATATTTTTATTCGAATTATAATTAATATATATATATATGTGTATATTTTTTTTCCTTTCTTCGTTCCACAAAGCTATGAATATTCGTATAATATAAAATTGAATTATATGTTCGAATTGTCCGCCATTACATAAATTCAACCAATCATAGAGAGTTAAATTTGATTGATTATGTAATATTAAATGTGATTGGCCCTGATATAATATTGAATAGAATTTTTTGTTTATTTTTAAAATCAAATATTTCTTTTTTATTATTATAATTATTGTTATATATCGCGTTTATGTCTCTATTATGAATTTATTATATCATAATTTTTAGGAAAGAAATTCAATTTTGCAATTTTTTCATTATACTGTTCAAACATTCTATCTACTTGAATTGTCTCGTTATTGAATATTATAGTTTACGTTTCTATTAAACGTAGTGACGTTATTCGTATATTTTGTTATTATATTTTAATTGTTTAATTATTTTAATATTCCATATGAAAGATAAAAGTAAAGAATCTGCCCCAGGCGATGGCATACGCTCGTTACGAAGCACGATGTTATTTCGTGCTATTAATTACGAGTTGTATGTCAAGCCGGTAATAAAATCAATAATATATTTTTTATATAAACATTATTAAAACTTTTCTCGTTATTCATGAAAATTTATTGTTCTATTTATATCGTATTATATACTTTTTTTGTTTGTTTCAGAATAAGGGCATAATGCTTTTTGGGGTTATGGCAATGCTTACTTGTTCAGGGTATTTACTTTACATGCGATATAAACATAATGGCACTGTTTATTATGAATCTGTTGAAGCAGATGGAAATGTAACTTTTAAAAAGAAAACTTCCAAATGGTTAGATTAAATGTATCAAGGTGTTCACAAAAGATTCATATATATGTATATTAGATTAGTACATTGCCATTGTAAGATTTTAAAGAACAATGTTTGAAACATTTGAATATAATTATATTACATATTTATTATATTTAAAAAAAAATCTAAATTATGTCCTTTGATGATTGTGTTTTAGTTACGAGAAAAAAATTCGAAAATATGATTAAAGATAGGAGGATAAGTAATTTATTGTCACTTTGAATATAATATCGTTATTTACATAATACTTGTTCAACATTATTTCCATATATACTGTAAAAATGTTACAGTTTATAATTATATTCAATTAAGAGTACATATAAGGAAAAGAGAATATATTCTTTATTTATTATAAAATATTATGCGCATAAGATGTTCCAAATCTACATGATTATTTAATTAACATCAAGACGGTGGAAGACATCGAATAATGTGTCTTTTGTGGACAACCTATGTTACATCACTTTATAGTCTGTATCAATTATTACATTATATATCAAGTATAAATCTTTGATTAACAGGCAATACATTTAATCGTTATTTGTAAGTTTATGAATCATAAAAGGATATGTATATTGTTATGTATATGCTTTTATAAATAAATTTAAATATTATTTTCTTCAAATATACTATAGTTACAAATATTGGATAACAGGATAGCATGTGTTCTTTCCAATTTCTATCATATTCATTATACATAAATGCTTAGATAATTATAAATGCTTGTAATATTTAATAATAATATTTTATGCTTATGCAACTATTTTGGTATGTTTCCTTTTTTTGATAGACTGATTTTTAAAATATACGTGTTATCTTGTCATGTCACGTTTAGTACAATACAAATATGTAAAAAAGTATTTTTTTTTCTTCGAACAAGATTCGTTCGACTATCTCTTTGGCAGTTTTAATATTATATCTGGAAGGAAATTCGTAATAATATATTTTCTCTTTTAAAGTTAAAATATTCTAAGTATATAAATGTTAACAGTGTTACTAAAAATATATGTAAATTATTCGTTATACGTATATAACAATCATATATCTTTTGTTTGCAAATATGACATTAACAATTTATTTATAGTTTATTAACATGGATTTTTGGTCCATTTTAATAGAACTATATATATATATATATATTATTCATGTATATATATACATGTATATAAGTGGAATCTCTGCTTTGAAGTATTCAGAAAAGAAATAGGGAAAACATTTATCTTTGCTTATATATGACAAGATTTGTTACTTTCTTAAATTGTTTCATTTTTAGAACACATGTAATGCACAATACAGTACAAGAAAAAGGATATTGGCACAATCAACAATAAGTTTTTACGTACCATTATACATATAAAAAAAATTATTTTTTTTAAATGTCAAATTTTGTATTAAAGTGATGCTATAAAAAAGAAGAAAAAAAAAGGATATCATTTGTATGAAAGTTCAATATTTAATTAATGCATTAACTTTGTACTGTTCTTTTGTTGGACCACCATCATAATGTCTGCTATATAATTGTTAAATTTCATTAAATACAGACCTTATGTTCATACATCAGCCTTTGTTTTTTGCCGCACAGAGCAATTTTTTTTTCCTAATTAAATTATTCACTTTCGCGTTATATTACTATTTTATTTATAGATATATTAAAATCTATTTGTGTTATTTATACTCTGTAGAAATACTGGTTTACATCGATCGGAATAGACTTTGCTATCAGCAATAACTTTTGTACTTTTCAAGATAAAATAATAATGTTAATCTTATGTTTTAAAGCAAGATGTGAACATAAGATCTTATTTTTTAAATTCTGAAACTGAACAGTAACACAAGATAACGCAAAGATTTTACTGAAATTACTACTGTAATCAGTAAACTAGTAGTTTACTACTGTAAACTATCTAAAAAAATTTAGCTTGACTTCATAGAATATAAAATATTATAACATTTCAACACCATTGTCAATATCAATGGCTTATAGATGATATTTATATTTATTATACTATGATGTCAAGTTTGAAAATATGCATCAACAGTTGCAACTTTTCTCTGTATGAGGAAATAGTTTCACTGCTTCATGAATAGCTTCTGCTACATAATCCAAATTACGTTCTGTCAGTCCACAAATATTTATACGTCCACTGCGTAATAGATAAATATGAAACTGATCCAATAAATGTTTCACTTGTCTCTCTGTAGATTTAGATTAAACATATTTTAAAAATTTTCTTTTTCTAAATTTATTATTTTTCTTATATAGTAATATCTCAAACATACCATTAAGACCTGTATATGAAAACATTCCTATTTGTGTAGTTATATGTTCCCATGTGCCAGGAGTTCCCAATTTAAGTAATCTTTGATATAGTCCTTCTCGCATCTGTTTTATTCTTCCAGACATAGTTCGAATATGTTCTTTCCTACATTATTAATGCATTACATTAAAATAGACTTTCATATATTATAAAATAATATTCCTTGAAACATACCATTCTTCACAAAGATCAGGATTGTTAAGCACAGTTGATACTATACGAGCTCCATGGTTGGGTGGATTACTATACATTCCTCGTATAATTAATGTCACTTGAGATTTAAATTCAATTGCTTCCTTTGCATCAGACATTACTACGACCATATTACCAACTCTTTCATTGTAAAGACCAAAATTTTTGGCAAAACTTTGAGTGCAAATAAATTCCAATCCACGTTCAGCAAACATGCGTATAGCAAATGCATCTTTGTCTAAATCACCACTTGCAAATCCCTAAAAAAAGTTTATTTATAGTATGATCGATAATATAAAAAAAAAGTGTTTAATATCTAATCAAGTAACATATATACATACTTGATATGCGCTATCAAATATTGTGAACAATCGATTTTCTTCGATGACATCTGCAATTTTTTTCCATTGTTCTGGCGTAGGATCACAACCAGTAGGATTGTGGGCGCATGCATGTAAAATAATAACTGAATTTTCTGGAGCGCTTTTTATATCCTTAAGCATTCCATCTAAATTGATTCTTCGATTTTGATAATCCCAATATGTATATTCGCAAGCATTTTTAAACCCACCATTCATAAATACAAGTTTATGGTTTTCTATGAAGCAATATGAATTTTTATAATATTTCTGATCTATTATTTATGATCAATATTCGATTAAATTAAATCATGATTACTTACCCCAGGTAGGATTACTATAATAAAATGTATCATAATTTAGGATACGACTTAAACACTCAGCAGCAACTCTTAATGCACCAGTACCAGAAAGCGTTTGAATACCAAAAGCACGTTCTTGTGCAATAGCCGAAGAATTAGGACCTAATAACATTCTTGTCGCAGCTTGACAGAAGGCATCTAATCCTAATATCGGAAGATATTCATGATTTTGCAATTCGTCCATTGCAAGTTGCTTTTCTACTTTCCTTACAACAGGTAAAACCCATGGTTTTCCTTCGGATGTACGATAAGCTAAAAAATAAAATTATAAAGTTCGATTGGTTAGTCTCTTTAAAATAAAAAAAAAAAAAAAAAAAAAAAAAAAGAAAAAAAACCAAAGAGAAATAGCCACATATCAACTGTGAAAATATTTACGTATATAGATCAGTATCATAGATTATATAATTGACTTACTATAGAGGTCATTCAAGAGTAAATTCATAAAGATAAAAATGATACAAAATATCGTACACTAAGATAAATTTAATTACAATTTTTTTCATTTTTAATTAATACAAATATATATATATATACAAAATATGTATATATATACATATATACATATATATATATATATATGTATATGTACAAACACACGTATATATATATTTTTTTTGTTTTAATAATTATGACGCAACGATCCTACTTATTATATTATATAGATATTTATACTGATAATATTTTTTACATACCTCCTACAGCCAAATTGACTTTTTTTTGATAAGTATCATCGTTAAAAGCTTTTATTAAAGCGAAAACCTCAATAGGAGGTCCCAATTTGATCCCCGAAAATCTCGTGCTCATCTCAACAGAGTGGCTCAAGCGCAACTGAACTTCAGCGATTACGAAAAATGGATGATAAACTCAACAACTTTTCTCAGAGTTCTGGATATCAGTTACGATATTATATCAACGAGTTAATTGTTATATTTTCATACATGTCTTTATTAACACTATAATATTGCATCTCTTATTTTATATCCTTTATTAGCATAGTTATATTAATTAATCAAAGGTTAACTTTATTGTAAAAAGTGAATACGTTAATATATAGATAACTATATCGATACATTCTAATTATGCAATACGTCAAACCGATAAATATCGACTTTTATATACATATATATATATATATATATATACAAATACGCAAAATCTTTCAAATGTTTCCATATTATTTTAAATCAATTTAATTAAAAAAGAAAAGAGAAAGAGAGAGAGAGAGAGAGAGAGAGAGATAGAAAGAGGAAGAGAGAGTGACAGAGACAGAGAGAAAAATTTTCGTTCAAATTCTCGAAATATAGAAACTCATCGAAACGTTCCCTTTATAGATAAATATTTTTCTTAATACACGTACACACCTGGACGTACCTAACCTCATACGATTAATTCCAATAATTTCTGTACGCATGTGCGTACGTAATCCAGTAGAAAGAGATATATAAAAACTAACAATGTAAAAAAAAAAAGACCCTACAATGAATAAATTGGTTGGAATCATAATTAATGAGATGTTTCATTAACGTTCGATACCGACGAAATCTATATTATCGACATATCGAATACGTTCGTAGAACTCAATAGTTCATTCAGTCGCCATTAGAGGCAGCACCGTCGACGCGGCTCGCAACGATAAACGCGCTCGGATAGATCGCAGAACGAAAATGGCGCCGTTCGAGTGAGGGTGGGTTAGATTCTGTGTGCGCGCGTGTGCCCGGAGAGAGTGCGAGAGCCTACGGAAATGTGGCAGGATCTGGACGGTCTGGCCGGTGCGGGAGTGCATTCCGGTACTCATCAGGTCGACCAGTTTGGCACGGCGGGTAAGAAAATTGTGGATTACGTTGGTCAATGAAAAATATTATGGATCGCCACGGATACAAATACGAATACGAATACATAAATGAATACATAAACGAATACATAAACGATTATTTCGGGTCCTGCCAAGATCTGGAGGAAAGGCTTTCCCCGTGGGAAAGCGCAAGCGCCATGCGCTTCCTTGTCTCCTTTTCGCTCGTAAACAAAACCAAAAGGGAAGTCATTGTCTGTCGTTCTTTCTGTCTCTATGTATATCTCTTTTTCTCTTTCTTTCTATCTTTCTATCTCTCTCTTTCTCTTTCTCTCTCTCTCTCTCTCTTGTCGTCTTCGGCTCGATTCATGAAGGATATATACATGTCTCTCAGATTTCCCAGGGAAAATGGGAAGCTTCCTTCATACAATTTTCTCTCTCTCTCTCTCTCTCTCTCTCTCTCTCTCTTTCTCTTTTTCTCCTTCTCTTTCTCTCTTTACTTGTTGTTTTTCTTTTCTTTCCCTTTCGACAAATCTTCGTATAATGTATTCAGTGAAAAGAAATAACGAGAGTAAATAAAAAGAAAAACAAAGAAAAAAGAAGTGTCAAATCAAAGTTGACTTTTCTTTAAAGAAACGAAGAATACGCACGGAGTATTTGTTCTTTCGATTATTTTGATACGATAGAGTTAGAATGAGAGAGAGAGAGAGAGAGAGAGAGAGAAAAAAAGAGAAAAAGAGACAAGCAGAGATAGCATACATACGTACGTACATACATACATACATATATATACACATACTTATGTACATACATATATATATATATATATATATATATATATACATACAAACACACATAGCAGAATCGATGATGCAGATTTCATATAGGAAACTATTACCTAGTATTATTTTGGCGTTAGGAAAGTCGCTCTAGTAGGTAACTAACGGTGAATCTCGTCTCGGCGATGGCTTTATGTTTCCGTGTTGTCTTTTTTAGTTACGATGTCGCGAGAGACAAACGTGACGAACGACACTACTACGACGACTACTACGACGTTGTTGTTGACGTCGATGTCCTCTCGGTGATTCGGAACTCGTCGTTGCTCTTTAGAGTTTGTTGTTCGTCTCTCTCTCTCTCTCTCTCTCTCTCTCTCTCTTTTTCCCTTCCCCCTCTCTCTCTTGAGACGCGTCGTGCAGCCAACGTACGGAATGCTACGTACGTATGTATGTGTTTATATGTATACGTTTACAAGCCTCGATATATATGTATACCACTGTGACATTCGAGCAAAAACGCCTTCTAGGAACGCGTCTCCGATCGGTTTACGTCGAAACACCATCATCCTCGTTGTCTTATTTTTCTTTGTGTTGTTTATACTCCTTTATTTACCAATTCTAAAAATGGTGTGCGTAGAGTTACTATAAATGTGTTTGTTGGGAGATAGGTTTTAACCAATGGCGGAGTTGATTGAAAGAAAGGAAATATAATACAATAGTTGTTTATATCTTTCTTTTTTCTTTTTCTTTTTCTTTTTCTTTTTCTTTTTTTTTTCTTTTTTTTTTTTTAAATACCATTACCGGTGTAATAACATCGGTAACGAATAATAATTCGTTACGCTGTTACGAATTGTAGGTTAATCAGATGTTTCAGGAAGTTTAATGTCTGCCAGTGAAAAGAAATATTCATGAACGAGCCGTGATCATTGGAATTGAACGCGTTTTAATATCTAGAGTAGAACTTATAAATGGATTTATTAACGTGAGGTCACGTGAGTTTTTCATATTATATAAAATTATTTTTCATGTAAATTACAATTGGTACGATTGTTTAATCATCCGCCATCTTTTTTTTTCGTGGATATTAAGTTTTTGATATTGTTATTGTATTTTGATTATCATTATCGTCGTTGTTGTTGTTATTGTCGTTGTTGTTTATTATACTTGAGATTAATTTTTTTAGATAATAATTACGATTAATTTGTTAGCGATATCGTTGGATTGTTGTTCATTATGAATTAAGATAATTTTTATGTTAGATATTCTTTTTTCTTTTTTCATAATTATTTTTTAATTCGTTGGTATTTTCAATCAATTTTTTCTTTCCTCTATATAAAAGTCATTAAATCAATATGAATATAATCCTGTTTGAAGAAATATACTTTTTAAGAAAATTAAAAATATTTAATTGTAAATTAGCCGATCAAAGAGACAATATTTTCATTGATACGTACGCGCATCGGAGGTTAAGTATAGATTAAAAAAATATCGAACTTTTTAAATGTTGAACTTTTGAAAATTAAAAAAAGAATCGTTAAATTTAGAAGAGATCATTAAATTTATTTATTTTGCCTTCATATTGATATTTTCTTCTTCGAATTCCGATAACATCGACCTATCGTACACATTTATTATTCCCTATCCCCTCCCTCTTTTTTTTTATCTTCTCGATAACTAAGACTCTCTTTTAAAGTCAAATAACAACTCATCGTCTTAATCAGTCGTTCGCTATGCGACGCGGTCTTGATTCTTATCGTGGCTTTGACGGTTAAAAGCTATTGAGAAAGCACGTACGACGTACTACGTACGTGTATACACGTATATACATATCTCTCTCTCTCTCTCTCACTTCTTACTATACAATAGTAATCGACGCGTATGATAATAATACGCTGAATGGACGCACGCTTTGAGTTTTGCACGTGCGCGGCATACGGATTAGCAGCGACTGGATCGATGCGTCTTTTCGTTCTACTCGACGCCGTCGTATTTCGAAGAAAAAAGTAATTGTTAAAAATTAAAAGACAACAAATAAAACAAACAAAAGAAAAAGAAAGGTAACACTTGACTCACAAATTAATTCATTTTCGTTTGATAAACTTTATTTATCGTCGAAGAAAAATTTAAGTTAATTTTAATCTGAACGTATGATAATAATATCGAGTATATTTTTATATTTTCATCGATGATTGATTTTCTCGAACAATTTTTTTAAATGTTTTCTTTTTTAGAATATGAAAGTTAAAAAGAAAAGAAAAGTGTGATAACCGAATAAATTCTCGTATTCTCGTCGAAAACTTTTTTTTTTTTTTTTTTTTTTCGTATTCCTCTTCTGCATTGAGAAACTTTTCGTTGACAACAAATTTCTGCGAGAAATCTTTTTAAAAAAGATCTTCAGATCGACAAGTTAGGCAAATTTTAGACTAAAACCAAAAAAAAAAAAAAAAAAAATAATATAAAAATAAAGTGATAAATTTTCTAAGTTTTGCGTCGAAAAAAGAATATTTCGCAAAGTATTAAATATAATTTCTTAGATCGACGAGGGGGAAAAGATTGGACGAATTTCATTCGATAAAACTCGACTACATTGGAATTTGATTATATCAATGTAATCGAAGTTAATTAGAAAGAGAATAATTCAATCTAATTAATTTAATATAAACCCAAGTTATCTCGGCTGAAATTGATTGACTTGGTTAACTACGACGACGTCGTTATACTGTAATTAATTATACGACATTTAATTAATTCCGATGAAAAGATACTTTTAATTATTCAAAAATAAAAAAAGAAAAAATAAAAAAAAAAAATAAATAAAAGAACGATTATTACTATTGCTGCGTTTTCTTTTTTTCTTTTTTCTTTTTTTTTTCTTTTTTTTTTTTTCTTTTTTCTTTTTTTTTTATATCGAATGATATATGAAACAATATCGTCGTCATTTTGTCGGATATATCATTTATTTTTCTCTTAAAATACAATAGATATTTGGAAAAAAAAAAATGAAAGAAACAAAAAATCTTCACGATCGTTAATATTTCTCATTTTCACGTTTCAACAAAAATCTTAATAACACAGCTCATAAATCCCCTATAGAAATAATTCTCTCATGGTTATTGGTTCATTAATCATACCATTCGCTTTTGTAATTTCGCGCTTGATAAACAATAAGGAACTTACTATCCATCTTACTTTCTACGGGAGTAAATTTATTCCCGATAGAAACTTTCTCCCCGTAAACCCCTGTCGCCCACGTTGACTCTCCTCTCTTTCTCAACCCTCTTCTCTTCCTCCTTCCTCCTTCTCACTCTAATAATATACTGACGTCTTTTTAATCGTTCGATCGAAATTGATTAAATGATTTTTTAAGATTTATGACGATCTCTCTCTCTCTCTCTCTCTCTCTCTCTCTCTCTCTCTCTCTCTCTCTCTCTCTCTCTCTCTCTCTCTCTCTTTGTGAAGCGTCGACCTTATTAACGGTAACAGGTA